ACCAAATATAAAAGAAATGTGCTTTCTCTTTGTAGTCCCTGTCAGTATTCATGCTTCAGCATTTTGGACCAACTGAATGTTTTTCAGGGAGTTTTAGGACATCCTGACAATAAAAAAACTACAGTAGTCAAGCCTAGGAGTAATAAATGCATGAACTAGTTTTTCAGTGGAGAGTCCCAGAAAGCAGTCTTACATATCTGTTTAATATCCTGGTCAAAACAACTCTTAAGATTCATCACAGTGTCTCTGGAGGCCAAGGTAATGCTATCCAGAGTAAGCATGTGGTTAGATACCATATTTCTAATATTTTTACCAGTATCACACTAAGATCTAGGAGGAAAAGAACAGAGATGACTCAGTAGCTTGTATGGCCCCCGCATGTTTGTATACATGCTTGATGATATTGGGGCATGTTTCTAATGACACGACCGATAGTGTTTCGGGTGTCTCCCACCAGATTTGAGACATCAGAACATTAAGTGAGTAAAAAACACCCTAAATGCATTTAGAATATATTTAGAACTACACATTCAATTCTTTTAGTAATTATAATTTTTTTTTGGTCACAATTCCAGCCCACCTGCTTTATCTGGGCTTGGAACTGGCAAAAGTGACCTGAAATACGCACTCTGGTGGAGTTATTTTGTGTGTGTGTGTGTGTGTGTGTGTGTGTTTTTAAGTAGTTTTAAACCTTGTGATCCACAAAAAGTACAAGTAAAAGAAGAACTGACTGCGTTACAGTCAGGGCTGGAGCAGTGGCTTCGCTCATGCGCGATTCATTGCAGTTTGGACGCGTAAGGGTTAACATCTGCTCTGACACCAGCTGGGGGACACTGCTGTGTGAGGATGATCTGCTGCCTGTGAGCGCTTTGGCACGGGCGAGGTGCCCATGGCAGCACCCGCTGCTTGTTGAGAGTAAGAGCGATACGTGCTTTCACGTCACAAAGTGGTCATAAGTCTTCCTAAAAACACCAGCAAAAGTCGCCAGATTTGTCACTAGTCGCTTTTTAGAAAAGAGGGTCTGAAAACTCGCTAAATATATCGCCAAAGTCGCCAAGTTGGCAACACTGGTGCCATTGCCAAACCTGTAAAAGTCTTTGCATCCTGCCATGGATATGCCTCTCCAGACTGTCACAGAGCCACAACCAAACTAGTCATGCTGAACGATTTAACATTATGGTATTCTATGGCAAATACCAATCAAATTCAATGAAGTTGGACAGTGAGCACAGGCCACCCTACATGATGTAGTGATCTCAGGCTACTCTTACGAATTCTGCTTCTGATTGTTTGGTCAGAGACATTTACACCAGTGCCCTGCTGGAGATGACTTGCTGGGCTCTGACAGTGCTCATCCTGTTCCTCCTTGAACAAAGGAGCAGATACTGGTCCTGCTGATGAGTTCAGGACCTTCTACAGGCCTGTCTAGCTCTTCCAGAGTAACTTCCGGTCTCCGGGAATCTCTTCTATGCTCTTGAAACTGTGCTGGGAGACACAGCAAACCTTCTGGCAATGGTACATATTGATGTGCCATCCTGGAGGAGTTGGATTACCTGTGCAACATCTGTAGGATCCAGGTATGGCCTCATGCTACCAGCAGTGACACTAACTCTAG